CTCTTCCTCACTGGCTGTTTACTCTGGAGGGAAATTAAAGGCACATTACATTGCGTTCCTGCTGTGCTTTGCCTTTGGAGACATTTCTCTCTCTCCACTGACCTGACTCCCTAATGATGCATGTAAACTAAGGAATTCCCCCAGCAAGTATCCTTGCTTGCAAAGTGTGCAGAAGGAACATGTCCAGGATACCTGCCTGGCCTATGTGTACTTCTGACCAGATCAACTAGCCCCACTGGAGGTCAATTAGGAATTAAAGAAATGGTGTGGGCTGGAGCAGGTTTAACACCCCAAGCCTATTAGGGGAGAGAATGCAGCATTATTGATTCCAGCCCTTGACCTTGAAACAATGTAAATAAAAGTGCAGCAACCCTAGACAAGTTCTAGCAAAATAGTTATAGCGTTTCAAGCAGATTAAAAAAAAACACAGCATACATACTTCCCCAGATGCTTGTTTATTATTATGCAAGACATGTTTATTATGCAAAATGGTAGAGCAGAAAAAAAAGCAGAGAAAAAGAAAATGCAAAGACATACTGAGCTCTTAAAGTGACTTGGGTTTTTTCAATGCTGTTTAGATTTTTTTTAATTGTGCATAATCATTCCCTTATTAGCAGGAATCTTTGAAGTGATTCAAGCTCCAATTTCAGCATTTCAAACTCAGAGGTTTATACTGTAAAATCATACTGAGCTCTCATAAGCAACCCATTTTTTTTCTCTGTATTCTGTATCTCAGCTAAGGTTTTCTCAGTCTTTCCACTAAATTATGTATTGCATTTTGCCATTTCAAAAATAATTAGAACTTTGAGCTAAACAACGAGGAATATCTGAGAGCAGTACATTTCAGAAGAAAAGTGTTATGCACTGGGGGCAAAACCAGTCCCAGCTGCAGCACCACTGAATTATACATATCGTCATATTGACAGCTGCAATTTCAGTGTACCTGGAGTGATTGGGTGAGCCTGCAGAGGCTCTAGAAGCCCCATGATGAGCCTCTGCTCCAGGAGAACCACGTTTGCTTCTCAGATGAAACACTTTGCATGTACTCTTCCCCATGCCCCTGTGAAGCTGAGGTGAAAGAGAGAAAGCTGGGTGGCGAGGAGAGAAACTTCACAGAGAAAGGTTATACAGGAGTAGAAATTAATTTGGTGTTGGAACTATTAACTCCAGACAGAGACAGGAGAGCATATTCTATGCTTTTTCCTGTTAAGATTACGCTGTAAACTCACAGGAGCAGGACGTACCTCTATTCTGTGCTTCCCTGTCCTCTGCAACAACCGGCCTTTGGTCTTATCTTCCCAAGCCACTAAGCACTAAGACAGTACAAGTAATACCCACTGCCCTTCATTCATTCCGTATATTTTTACATTTTAAAATGCTAACAGTGGATCCTCAGAAGAATCATGTCACTCCCTAGAACAGCTGCTGATAAAACCCTTCATGCACTATCAGGGAATTTACAGCTGTTCTACATTACTAGAAATCAAATGGGAACACACCGAGTCTGTGCAAGCTTGCTATGAAGACTGTTTTGCATCCTACTGTCTGCAAAGCCAGGTGTCTCAGGTCATGACCTGATTTTTTTTCACCTCCTAAGCACCTCCCCAGCAGACCTCAGAGGTATTAATAAGCTAGTCTGGAAAAAAAACTGAGGTATCTAGTGTAAGTAAACAATGCACAAAAGCCACAAACAGCTGCTTCCCAAGCAAAGAGGGGTTGGCACCTAATGCATTTAGGCCTCTGAAGCTGGCTAGGGATCTGTGGCTGGCTGCAACTCAGCAACCCAACCCCACACTATCCCTACCTATCCCTAACTAAAGAGGTGAGGAAACTCACTGCTAAAGGTAAAAATGGGGCCAAGCATTTAGGAAGGTCTTCTGCAAAGAGCCTTCTCCACAAGTTTGGCTTTAGAGGACCCCACTCTGTACTGATTGGCACCAGAAAGACATTTTCCAAGGGCTGGTTATTGTAAACCCATTCAAGAGCCCATTCACACAAACTCAGAAGGAGCTGGCACAAACCACTTCTGAGGCCAGGCTGATAATAGCCTCTGGTTTCATCCAGGGCGGAGGATGTCAGCCAAGGTCTCAGCTGACTCAGACAGATTAAATATCACCAGAAAAACACCAAACAAAAAAACAAAACAAACCCACAGCAATGATGTGTTCAGTTACAGCAGCCACAATCTGGGCTCAAGAAAAAACAAAACAAAACCAACAAACAAACAAAAACCTCAAACAAACCACGTTTCCCTGGACAAGTGCATTTTATCTGAAAGCAGACCTGGGCTTGAGGGTGTTGTAAGAAGTCCTAGCAGGACTAGGCCTGGGACAAACAGCAGGGGAGGCAGCCAAGCTTTAGCAGTGGATCTGCATGAGTGAACAGAATCTATGGGGAATAGTCATTTTATTTTTTTTTTGTTTGTATTTTCTAGAAATGGAGAGAGAAAAAAATAGGTGTATGCACAACACCAAAGGAAACTGGCCTGAGACACAACAAAGCTGTAGTTTAGAGTCTGCTAAACAAAGGAACAGGGACAATGTGTCCTTTGGTGTGGGCAGCCGTCAGGTCCAGGTAGCATGGCCAGGGATCCTGCTCACCTCAGAGATGAATAGACTCGAGTCCTGCCAAAGTAATTCCCCAACACAGTCTTCAAGACTGACACAGCTGTTCCAAATGTGGGATTGGACTGGGATCCTGGCCCTACAAGGAAACTGCAGCATCCAGAAGAGACTACTTGGACAGTGTCTTGGTCTTCAGTTAAACCACAGCAAAGACACTGAGCTCTTCTCAGCCATATCCAGTTATTTTATAGGATCCTGGTCTCATCCCTTGGTTTTGATGCTATGAGTGGTTTCGCCCACACTCTCTGCTCCTAACAGGCTTTATCTACAAATTTTCATTTTTTCTTGCCTTGGGGTCTGTTCCAAAGCACAGTGAATTCATTGATATACTGCTGCAAGACAGAGCCACTAGTCAATACAAGAAGAAAACACTGTCCAGCAAGTTCCATCTCACTGGATGGAATCAGCAGCATCTATTTACTGAAAGCAGAATCCTCGAATCATATTGAGTAGTTTAACTTTTACAAGTTCAGAGATGAATGCCATCAAGCCGTAGCACATAAAAAGCTCCACTTCATTAACCACTGGCCATCAGTGCATCCTTATTCTTCCCGGATTAACCTTCCTACTTAAGGCAGGAACACTTGCTGGGAATAAGCAGGGCCCATTAAACCACCCTCAAATGCATACATCTATGATCTGGTGCCTAACAGGGCACTTCATACGATGAGCAGATGTGTTTCCTGGACACACGGTCCTCCTGCTGCTCACCACCTCTTGGTATGTCCCTCCCATTCTCCCTATTGTCTCACTATTGCTAGCAAGAGATATTTTTTCTCTGCATCGTCTTTAATCTCTCAGCTGTCAACTTCATATTTCCAACCTTCCATTTCTTCTCTTACCTAAGCCTCACACCCTTCTCTTCCTTACACTATTTGTTTAGAAAATACTGACCCCTCATTGCTCCAAAAAGATCCTCCCAGGCTGGGTGTGGCTGAGACACACACTGCTTTCCTGCAGTCCTCATTTACAGGGCACCAGAGATATGAGGTGCCTCAGTGCTGGGCCGGGACCCTGTATGCCCAGCACTGCACAAGCGCAGGGCAAAATGTCAGTCTGGACCCTCCTGACTATGTGCCTAAAGGGAAGCAGGCATGATAATGCAGTACCACACCACACTTAGTATTACCTTTTAGGCTCTGATAGCTTTACAAAAAGAGGAAGTTTTCATTGTTAGTAAACCAATGTAATTTATTTAGCAGCAGTCATTTAGGTTTACTGGGCTATGAAAGAACAGGAAGCGTCTGGCATCCAGAGAGATCCAGATTGATCTCTCTGTCTCTTCTTGACAAGCAGCCAGTTTTGAGACCTATCTCACCAGGCATACTAAAACATCCACTTGCTGTTTTCTACCCTGAGCCACTGGGGAAACAGAGCTTTGTTACCTCCTGAAGGGGAAAATCGCAACCATATGAGCATGTTTAAAACTAACCAGGAACAAAGTTGGATGGTAAGAGTCAGGAAAATTCGCGTACAAGCAAGTCAGACTGTTGTCCTTTCAGTGGTCCCATCTCCATTCTCAGGTATGCTTTTAATGCTATGTAAATGCCTAGACAAGAGCAGAATCACTGCACTGTAAATTTACACAAAGGCAGATGAGATTAGAATCTCAGCTATACACTTTAAAGATATCATAACTACAGAAATGAGAAGTGTATTATTAACTATCACTTTTTACTATGTAGAACTAGAACAAAGTTATTTCAAGCATAAAAAATTCTGGCAAAGTGCTGCCATATTTAATAAATCACTGAATCAATTATTCACTGTGAAAATCAATTACTTACTTCAAATAAGAATCTTATGAATAACCTTGTGCCCTTTCATGCCATTTAAGAAAGTTATAGGGGAATTAGTCAGTAAAAAAATGCCTCACTTATCTTTTATGCGCATTAAAAAGACCACACAAATACAGTGAAATTCTGCCAGCAGAATAGTCCAGAATCATTTTAGTGAAGTCAGAGTATCGCTGTGGATTTACACTGCAGTAAAAACACAGCATTGGGGCACCACCTATGATCAGTTATGCAGGCGCAATTCAGAAGAGTTCTATTCAGTCCATGCCATTTTGCAAACGTGAAACCAGAATATAACCAGCCAACCACACAAACTCCTCTACAACATGAACTACATTAAGTAACTACTCAAAGAAACACAAAGTGTACCCTCACAGGTCAGGAATTATTGCCATGAGTCTCCACGGAGACACTTTAAAGTGAATATTGCATGGCCTTGCAGCAGCTCCCTGGTTCCTGCTTTTGAAGATTTGCTGATATGTGACCATTTCCAGAAAATGCTGCAAGTCCCAATGCAGCCTCCTTCCTCCCACCTACAAAACCAAAGCACTCCAGGACCCCAACAGTGCAAAGTACTTACTGAGCTGTAGAGATATCCCTCAGCATTCATGGCAACATACAGACCTGCCTTCACCCCTTGAATTGCCACCACACGAAGACCCACAGGAATTAGATTGAAAAGGGCTGTGGAAAGAAGAGAAAAGCAAAGGTTATGGAGACACCACCTTTGTGCAGCCAGTGCTGCTTTTTGCCCCAGGGCCAGCCCACCCCACTCCTGACATTTACCAGAAGATACTGGACTAGAATCAAAAGTCCTGCTTCCAGGTACAAGAAAGGCCTGCAGCCATGGGGCCAGTGTTGAAGGGAAATTTTTTAAAGTGCTGAGTTTGGCTGCCTCCCAGAAGCTTTACCACACCCATCAGTCTGTTTGATCACTGCCTTTGCAATGCCAAGGACTTACACATGCACTCAAGTTAGCGCATCTCAACAGCTTTTCATGGGCTAGCTGAGCTGTGCTAACCGCCCATGGCAAATGCAACAGCACAGCTTAGTGTAGTTCACCCTGAAACACATTTTAAACCTAGACACACTTTCCTGCATTTGCCATATGCTAAAAGAGTACACAGACAGCAACCACAGCCAGAAGGATAAAAATTAGCTTGACTTTGTGTCTGTGTGACCCCTGCTGTCAAGGGAATGAAGAAACTCAGGAAGAGACAGTGCTCCACTCCAGGACCTGAGCGCTGTTGCTTATTTAGAAAGCCACACTAGACAGGATGGAACAGGATAAGACCTTGCAAGACCCAATTCCACTGCAATCTTATTGATTAAAGCATTGCAATCACTGTCTCCAAATTTATTACTTTATTGCTTAATTCCAAGTAGATCCTGTAGTTCACTGAAAGACCTTTCCCAGGAGCATATACGTTAACGTATTGTCAGGCTTTTGCTACATTTCTGACACAATGGGCTCAAAGAGGAGAGGACTGTCAGTGTTGATTGAGTACTGAGGCATTAGCATGTTTTTTTCCTACTGAGATTTCTAGGACAAAAGTATCCAGATGTTGTAGGACTCTATGTATTTCAGCTTATGAATAGCTAACTAGACCTTGTCCCATGTAGCTCAGGATATGGAAAGATTGTTCACAGGGCCAGGCAGAACTGTGAGCACAAACACAATGGAAATACTTCACTCAAGGTCTCTTCCCACTCAACTACGCTGAAACAGTAATATTTTTTTCTAGTTCCCTAGTCCTGAGGTCAGACTGCCCCTTCCACATTCATAAAGCATTTCTCATGGCTTTTTAACACTCACGTATTTACTAAAGCCTGCTCGAAACTTTGAGCTTTGGGGTGCTCAAATTAGCCCAGGGCAGATCTGTGAATGGGGAGAGTGCAGAGGAAAGACTGAGTGACAGAGCATGCAGTGAAGCATTCTTTTTTTCCAGCTGACCTTTAAGGACACTATCCTCTAGCTGATTCATTTTATAGATCATGTACAAAGTTTTATGCCTGACACATCACACTGCAGCAAGCATAGCACAAAGGGGTTTTCACATAATGGCTGTAGGAGAAACAGTCCTTCTCACTGTGCCATCTCACAGCCGTTCCTTCCCTGGAAGATGGACTACTGCTGATTTAATACCAGCCCTGAAGCATAAAGCTTTTGCTGAAACGGTCTATTCAAAATGCTATGGTTCCTCAGGCCAGGCTTGTGTTAATCCTGCTATGACAGGAGGGACCAGAGTCCAGTTCAACAGGAGACTGGTTAGATGTGCATGTGCTAAGTAATGCATGTATTTAACTCAACCATAAGATGCTTCTCAAGAACCTCCCTCATGTACAGCCTGTGAATTTCTGCAGAGGGGAGGAGACAGAAGTTTTAGCTAATATGGAGAAAAGTGGGCGATGGGAGAACTGAAACTGTGGCTTTGTCATTTCTTTGCTACATAAGCTTGAACCAAACTACAGAGATCAAACTACAAAGTCTGATCTAAAGTCCCAGGATTTTTTTGCAGAATTTCTTAGAAGAAAAAGTAGAGCCCAAAAGGTCTGCGAAATGTAGTGGGACCGGTTACATTAAACCTGAACTCTCGCTGGATTTGCTTAAAGGTCAGAGGTGGATCCCTTTTCAGAAGTAAAACCTGAAGAGAGCACAAGAGATAGAAAGCTACTTTGCTCTAGATATCTAACGGGTGTCTTGACAGAGCTAGTTTCAGGGATGTCTCCAAAAAGGGATTCACAAGTCTCAGATTCACATCAATGCCCTTTTTTCTCACTCAGTTCCCAAGGACAACTGCTTAGCTCCCCTTAGTTAGCTGCCCAAAGGGAAGACACCTGGAGTCTAGTAGAAACAAATTTAATCTCAGTCCCTTTTTATGCTTTTAAGCATCATATTCAGTAAAATATCAAAACGTGTGCTGAATTCTTACCAAAACCAACGGTAATTTCTGTGATTTCACGGGAGGATGTCAACAGATGCATATGGCAAATGAAGTCCATCCTGAGTACTGGTCTAAAGAGCTGGAGTCAAGGACAGTGCTGCTTTGATATTGTCCCCAGAAGACACAAACACACCCCAGCTACTCAGCATTAAAGAGCTGTGTTATAGTGCATTTCTATCATTGAAAAACTCACTAAGCAAAGTAAGCTTATCGCTTCCTCACTACCATGAATATCTAAACCCCTCTGCAATTAACAAGTGTATTTATAAGCAATTCCCCTTCCTTATTTTTTCCTCCCATTGAAAAATGGAGCATATTACTGCTAATAATGAAACAAAATGGGCATCATCATTCATTCCCTACAGCCAATTTATCTTGTATGGAAAACTTGTGACAGACCATTCAAAGCATTCAGTAGGCAGCAAGGTGGTAATACCCAGAATTAGCGGGTGAAAAGTTCCAATTGGAAGCATCCACATCTCCAAATCTCTCTTTCCACCTATACATGCAAAGGGAGAATAGGAACAATCCTGCTGTGCTCTGTGTTACAATAGCAAGACCACTGCCAGTTCCCAAGCTCCCTGACACCCTGCTGCAGACCATGGGAGCAGCACCCACAATCACAGCTTTTAGGCGTGAGCATCTCCTGCAACACAGCACAGAGTAGAGGAGCAAGTGAGCAGGCAGACAAGCAGGATGACATGCATCTGACATAGGTAACTAGCAGCTAAAGAAGTTTCAGGTAGCACATATCTTCCTCTATTAAAAAAACAGTTTGGGTCAATCAAGATTTTGCAAATTCTTAAGCGTTGTTTCTGCCCTTCAATCTGGAGATGTGTTTGAAGAAATTGAAGCCTTTTGTTATCATGCTTCCAAATAAACGTTTTATCTTGTTTTAGAATAGATTTAAAAGCTTATAAACTTTATTGTAAGAATGTAAAATGAGGGAGGAAAAACCCTCAACCAGCCTCAAAAGCAGTATGGCTCATTCTTTGTCAGGAAAAAACTTTGGTTAATGTGAAACAGCAGAATGGGAAAGAGGACTAACTGTGGTAAAGTAGGACTGGACACATATGTGCTGATGTGAAAAAGAGAAAATTTAATAAATGCTTCAAAACTCTGCTGCAAATGGTACATTTTCTATGCCATCTGCAACTTCATAGAATGAACATACTCTTACTTCATGGGCAGAAGAGAAAAGAATTAGGACATTGAATTACTTCTGCATATTTTCCTTCATTACATCTTACCATTTTCAGCCATTGGCAGATTTACACCTGACTCTGCTTATTGATCATATTACTTTTAGCATGCTAGAGTCCTAAACTCTTTGGCCATGAGTATGCTGTTCACCATTACATTATGGCAGTTTATCAGCTGCATAACACATTTTTAAAATGTGAATGCATACTTAGCTATGTGTCTGGACTAGCTTATTTACAGAAATAGATGGGTAAGGTAAGATGTGCTATACTTAAGATGTGGGCTATATGCTCAGCTGATATAAGCAGTAGTAGTCAGAGGATCTAAACTAATTTATACCAGGTGATTTGTTCTGGATCAAGACATTTATGCTGCACAAGAACTAATGGGAGATACAATAGGCATCAGCAGCCTTGGTGCACCATGAGACAGGGAGGTTTAAGATCATGAGAGAAATGAGGAATGCTGCTAAGACGATCAACAGTCTGTGGTGCAACATGTGCAGTTACTTCTTTCGTGCAACATGAGAGAAGAAACTCGGGTTACTATTTATTAGCTTAACTCAAAGAAGGGAACACAATGAAGCTTCTCAGAGGGACACAATGAAAAGACAAGAAGCACTAGACAAAAGCCTCAAAGAAATTATGACTGGTTGCAAAGAACAATTTGTTACAATGAGAACAGTGCAGCACTGGCACCAGATAGGTTATGAAGTTATGGAACAGCTCATTCCTGAAGACATTTGAAACAATTAGACAAGGCTCTGTGCAGCTGAAGATAACCCATCTTCAAGGAAGATGCTGAACTGGAGACCTCCATAGGTTTCCCCAGTCTTAATCTTTTTGTGTTTGTTTCCGGAAAGCCTCAACAATATCCTGGACATGCTGGTCTGTTTCCACTTGTTCACTATAGTTGACCTATCCTTTATGTACTGTATATTTGCTAAGGCTTTTCAGACATTCAGCAGGATTATGCTAGCAAACAAGAAGTCCCGTTGCTCTTACAAAGAAGGTGCATTACCTTGCTCAGCCCAGGAAAGAGGAATAAGGATGCAAATACAGCAACAGTCAGCCCTGAAAGACCATTTGAGATCACTGATGTTGGAAGGAAAAAATACTGCCACAAATAAAAGTGCATATATAACATTACTAAGAACACAAACAAGGGCCTCATACACCATGGAATTGTGCTCAGATTAAAAGAAAATTATTCATATATCCCAGTGCAAGTAGGCAGAGGATCTGTCTTCTTGCTTACATTAAGATGGCGTGCCTTTAAATGCATGGTATAAGGAACAGATGTCCCAAGCGCTTCTTTCGCGGGAAACTGGCTGGATGCCCATTCAAATGCCATTAGAACTTGGCTTCTGGGTTTTCTGTTGGCTTTTTTGTTGGCTTTTTTTTTTTTTTCTTTCATTTAAGTGAGAGGAGGTGGAAAATAAATGCCACCAGCCTCTCAAGAACACACATAAAATAGGCACCAGATAATTAATTTAAAAATTGCTGAAATATTAGCAGTTCCTGGACTTTTATTTGAACTTTTAATTGCATGAGACATATCTGAGGGACATGTCGCTTCTCATTTTAAATGTTGATTTTGCCAGAGTAAATCAACCTAATGTATTCCACGAAAATTAAGCTTCCTTTCATAATGCTAATTAGAATAATCAGCATGTGGCTACAGAACAGAGAGTAACGTATAGAACATGGTGCTCACCGTGTATTTAACTGTGTTAAGATGGCTTCTGCATGGAGAATAGATGGCCATCCAGGGTGGGAAATATCCTGATATGGCCGTCCAGATTGCACTTCTCTCCCAGTGCATGTGAGTTAACCAACCCTCTTCAAGGATATGGAAATATTTATCTACTCTTTGATGAGTTTTGCCTTTGCAAAGAATACTGCACAGATTTCAGACAGGCTGATCACTTCTGGAGAAGTATTTTAAAACAGAAAATATCAGTGATGTAAATCTGTAAGCTGTTCACTTTGACAAGTGAGTTTTGACTTTTTTCTGGCCAAAAATTGAGATGTTTGGAGGAAAAGAAAAGGGGAAAAAAATAGTGAGTATGGTTTATTTTGGCATTTCCAAAATAAAAAAAAATGTGATTTTGTTTTGAAGCTATAACTGGAAGCTTCATACAATATAAAATGCTGACTCAAAGTGAAGATTTATAAAGGAGAACGTGTGGTAGGAAGTTAAACAAAACTGAATAATGTACATTCTTAATTTCATTTTCAGGAGCCAAATATTATCATGTTGAATTTTTCTCTCTTTTGATATCCCCTGAGATCAGGGGATGGGGAATTCTTTGTCTTCAATCTTTTTTTCGAAAACTTGACTAAAATTTATGACATGGCCCATGACTTTGAGCAAGTGGCTTGGCACACTTCAACTAGACACCTCCTGTCCTACCCCAGCTGCCAAGGCAGAGCTGCCACCTCACCAAATAAATTTGCACTCTAGATGTACCCTTCAGCCCATCTATTTCCAGCCAAGATGACTGGATGGAAGTGGCTTACAAGTACTAAGCACCTTGACAAACTGATCCCTAAGATTTCTAATGAGATAAGAGCTGTTTGGGGCCCAACCTCAGTCATGGGCAGCTAGTGGCAGTTTCCTTCATCTCCCCTGCCAGCCTGAAATACTGCAGAACTGCTCTTACGTTTTATTCCCCTGATGTTTACCTAAATTCATCCCTGCTTCAGTCTGAGCTCATTACTTTGTTGTTCAGTTCTCAATGATAGATGAGGGTAATGAATCCCTGTCATCTCTAGCAGCTCTTCCCGTGCCGTTGACAAATAGGCCTCCAATGGGATTTCCTGCAGATTGAGAACATCCTATGTCTTCTTTAAGAGAAAGCAGCTAATACGACCCACACTGGCTCATCACTCCCTGACTAAAGCCCACTGAAATCATGCCACGTGTTGGTGTCTGCTTGAGAAAATCAAAAGGCCAGACTTTCCTCATAGGAAGGGACCTGCTCAGTCTCTAATGGAGTAAATGTGTGTGTGGGGAGGTCCACAGATTCCCCTGCTCCAGCACAAATTAGAAGCTCTGTCATTGCAACTTGCAATACTTCATTTGTTCAACACAAGCATATGAAAAAAGAGGATTAAAACCTGATGCATCTGCCACAGTCCAAGTTTCAGATAAATGCAGCTTCTCGGGTCATTTCACAAGGGCTTTGCCAGTCTCCCACTATTTCAGTTGCCATCTTCCCAAAGCTCCTCTCGTGCATGGGCTCCAGCCTTGAGCTGGATGCAGCAGAGCAGCCACACCACACACAATGCTCCTGTCACAGCACTCTGCCAGCATCTTGGGGATAGGGCAAACACCATAGATGTGGGGCTGTAGCCAAACTGCACCTTTGTCCAAGTTCAGCTTCACATGACAATGTGAATGTCCTCTCTATGTGTGTTGCATCACTTCAGACAACCCTCACATGCATCCCAGATGATGCCTTCAATCCAACCAACAGCTTCTTTGAGTTAGAACAAGATAAGCCTCCAAATTAAGTAGGTTTCTCTTTCCACAGAGTACATGCAGTTTGCTTCTATCAATCCTACCACACAGATGAACGTGTGTTCATCTCTAGTAGTGACTGGGAAAATACCTTCTATGCCGTCTATCTTCTAGGCTATCTATGATGTCCTACATCAGTGGCACAGGGAGCTTCAAACCAACATAGGATGACACAAATCAAGACTTGAGTTCTACTCTGTTGATGCAGGATCAGAGCTTATTACTGTCCACTCAGAAGCATTCATCTAATGCCCATGAAATGAACAGAAGCTGTAGAAAATATCCTGCACCTTTTTTAAACTTTGTGGAGTTTTGTTATTAACAAAACTACTTTTGCAAAAGGAAGATTGGCTGTTGCTTTGCATTTGTTTTAACCAATGTGGCTCCTGCACAGAGCATCATTTTTAAACCTGCATGGATCTGCTGCCTTTGTTGGACTTTGCTGTCCTTTGTTGGACAGCATGAACACAATCCCTTTGAACAGTGTTTTGGAAGATGACCTCCTTTGGAAAGGTCATATGATGTCCTCAACCTTTATATTAGCCGCAAAGCACTATACTTTAGTGAACAGCTGGTTTTCTCCAGCTTGGAAATTCCTGATGATTGCCGAGTTTTTCAGTATAAAATAGTGAAAACAATTTTCTCCTCTTCTCCTTGGAGAGAGAATTCCCCCTATCCTTTACCCATGTGGCATGTGTATAAATATAATCTCCTTTCTCTTCTGGAAGCAATTCAAATCATGGGTTTTATTCTCCACCCCACCCAGATGGCAGTTACAGAATCGGGGCAGGAGGGAAGAAGATTGGAGAGGAAACATATGAAATTATACAGGCAAGATTTAAAGGGGAAGGATAGATAGAAAAAAAGGTGCAGAAAACAGCTGGCTTCTTCGTAATTTCATCTTTTAAAGCCAGGTGATGCATTTGATTGTAACAGGGTTGCAAAACAGGGTAATTTTTCTTACTGTAGTCGCTGTTTTCGTCCTTGGTCCCATCAATTGTACCATCTGGGTGCATCTGCAGGAAGTATTCCTGCTGGCTGAATAACCTTGTCACAATTCCTTTCAGTTGGGGTTCTGCAAAAAAATAATAAAAATTATTAGATATACCAAGTAGCAAGAGTCCCAATTTGTTTGGCCCCCATTAAGCCCTGAGTAAACATAGAAGTGCTTGGAAGATAAGACAGCTTTCTGTGATTCCTTTCAAATGTGGTTGTAAAATATTCATATATACATAGACATACAGGCAAATAAAATTGAGATCAGATGAGCAGGTAAAATGCAATGCATAGTTGGTGCAACAGAAATATATTTATGGAACATTGCTTCACTGAAAGTTACCTACCAAATGAAAGTCTTTAGACAGTTTATGTATTCTGAATATGTCACTCATTAAGAAGAATATTTGCTAGCAGAGCTGCAAACAATTTGTCTTTTGTTTCTTATTTTGCCTGTGAAGCCAAGATCCTTATTTTCTAGATGGTTGATTCACTACCGCGCAGTTCCAGTTTTATGCCAATGAAAATCTATTTAAATCACTGGTATTATAGTGGTGTAAAACCAAAGTACCCAAGTGCTTAATCAGGCTGCATGAGTCCAACTGTGTGGGACTCAGGAACAAAATCCTGAAAGGAACAGATGCAAGACACCTCCAAAAATGACCCCTGAAGCATTTATGGGCACCTTAAAACGCCTCTGTTTTAAAATCTGCCTCTTCCTCCCCCCTAAAACATGTACTACATACTCTGGTAGATGGGAATCACTCTTTGCCTCTAGCAGGGTCCTTTCACAGCCCCTCTACATCATGAGCCAGCAACGGACTGGCTTGGGGCTTACCTATTGCTTCTTCAACATTTTATACCTGTGTTGAAGAGGAAAAGGGAAACACTAAAAAGGCAGAAATAATTTGAACTTCATGTGACAGAGGTTTGCAGCATAACAAAAAAATGCATTTTTGTATTACAAAACTAAATTCAATTTTAATCATGCAAGTCTTTGTCACAGGCATTGCTTCTGGAAAGCAAGCCAGCTGGCTACATGTAAACAGATACACTAGCAAGGATGGCAGAGATCTTCCTTGTGCAACGGGAGTTTGCAGTTTTACGTGACCACCCACCAAAAGTAAATAAATAAGACCCAGTTTTTGCTGGCTCAATGGACAGGAAAAAACCCAGTGTAGCATACCAAAAATCCTGTCAGCCTCCCGTCTTTCATGCCTCTAGTGAGGCTGTTTAATAAGCCATGGTCATTACATAACTAGTCACGTTGTGTGTTAAGTGTTTCCATTAGGAGCCCCCGTCTCTAACGATTTTGCACTGCGCTGCACAACTTCCACTTAAGGCTGGCACTCTCAGCCAGCGCTTCTGCACAGGCAACACCCTCCCCGCAGCAGGCAGGGACCTTAGATGCAGACAGGCTGCAGGTGCAAAGAATTTCAGCTTCAACAACCCCTCCACCAGCTCGGGGAGAGTCAGGTGTTATTTCACAGCTACAAACCCCGCTGAGTAAATTGGGATCAGCTGGTTTCTACACTGCCTCAAAACAGTGATTTCGTAGCAATGAGAATGTTGTAGACTGCAGGCAGGCTTTCTCCCAACAAGACAATTTTGGGACAGTAAAATAAGTACAATTGTACTGACCATCTACTAAAAGCTAATGTTGTTCAAGCCAAATGTCAAACTGAGACTTAGCTTGAGCTAAGTGTATAGCTTTCTTCTTAACAAAATGAATTTCTATTTTGTTGACTGCAAAAGCTTGATTTAACTTGCTTTTCTGACACGCATATTAAAGCCAGAGGAAACAAAAAGCTGTATTCTCACGTACAGATGATTACACCACCCTGCTCAAGCCTGTACCCTTCCTCTCTTTTATCTAATACCACAATGGTGAAGGCACTAATAGGCACTCTCTGATACGAGAGACCTACGTTTTCAGTCCCTTGAATGAGTCTTAGCCTTGTTTTTACTTTCTGGTTAAATTTTAATGCTTAAGTACTTTGCACAAAATGGAAGAGCTCCCAGTAGGAGAGATTTAGAAGATGCTCCTGCAGCCTGAGGCTTTCTGTGTGCTGGGGAAGGGTGGGAGATCTTGTCTAAAGCATCTCAAGGATAAGAGGAACGGACATATAAAACAACCCTGAACTTGTCCCCTTGAGAAATTTCTGATTTAGCTACAGGAAAGAAGGCCCTTCCCTCCTTCTTTGAGGTGCAAACTATACTTCGATCATGCAAAATATTTTGGAACATGAAAACCTCTTCCACTCTTACTAAATAGCCTAACAAGTTTATCAGAATAGCACCTGAGATCCCTTGAGGTCACCCTGAACCTTTGTTAGACACAAACACCAATGCACCAGAAGTCTAAGTGTCACCGTAGTAAAACACAGGATAAAGCCCCAAGGTCCCTTTTTGTTACTGATCTGACATAGACACACAGTCAGGTATAATTCAAGCTTTAATGACTGCACTCTTCATGATCCTAGGCTTTCCTGAGTCAATGCCCGCCTAGATTGGAGTAGGAATCTTATCTTACATGTGCTTTTTTTTTTTCTTGACCTGACCTGGTTTTGCTGAAGTTTGAGGCTCACACCCAAATTCAAAACTCCAACCAAGTGAAGCACAGAGCTCTCATGTTCCTCCTGACCCTAACAGAGTCTGACAGCAGCAGTGTTCCTGCCTCTCCTCACACCTCTTCTGCAGGAGCATCCCTGCTACCCTGGCTCATTTAGAATGCCCTGCAGCACCACCAACCAAACATTTTTTTCAGACACCAAAGGGTCAGAAATCACTTTGGAGACATACAGATTTCTCCTTCCCCTGTTTCTGCATTTCCTTTTGTCTCTTTCAGTGGGAGAGAAGAGCTGGTGAGCATCTGCGCCTTTGAGTATCTGCCTGAACTAAATGCAAAAGCAGCACAGATACACACACAGCTGGCATGAAGTTCTCTTTTCTAACACAGAGAGCAGCCCAAGGATGGTTAAAGAGATATCTGGGCAATGGGTGATTTGTCGCACCTAGTACAGCCATGTCTACACTTGAATTGGGCTCCCTTTCCATCCCAAAAATCAACAGCCAGGACATGCCCATAGATCCCAAATCCACATGCATCTCCCCACTGACTGCAAAGGGACCAGCTTGAACATAAACAGCTATGCTACAACAGCTGGAAGAGTAGCTGCTTCCCACCAGGGAACCTTCTGTCTCATGTCTGGGCATAGAGTGGGATATTGCAGTGTGTTATTCCTACAGCAAGCAGTGTGGCTGGGAGGCCTACAGAAAAAAATTTAGGTGAAGGCAGCTTTTAAGAAGAATAAAGGTTTTACCCATCTTTCTCCCCAAACTTCACTACAGAGTTATTACCTGAAGAGGGAAGCGTATAATCACAGAACAGGAGTTTTCCTGCTACCCCAGAAGCAAAACTCTGCACATGACTTTAAAGAGACTCCCTACTTATATCATATATTTTAACATGACTTCTTTCCACTTACAGAGCAATTTTATCACAGTCTTCCAGCATTGCTATCCATTACGCTGTAGCAATCATGTTGAAAAAAACAGTTTGTAGAAAAATCTCAGAAACAGTAGGTCTCCTTGTCAAATAAGGGTGGTGGAACACTCCCATAAGCCAGAACAGAAGGCATAAAGGCAAAAAAAATAGACTGAGAACTTCTCACAGTTTTGCAATTAAAAGTGAAAGAGAACAACCCTTCCCAGCAGGCAAGATTCCCAGTACTTATTGAAGCACTGGGTGGGAGATTAAAACCCCGCAACCTTGATATGATACTTTTATTTGTCAGAAGTTCCCTCATTCCTGCTCTAGGCTATAATCAATAAGAGATAGAAGCACAAACAAGCTTTTCTTTCTCTAACCTCCTTCTCATATAGCAAGGGGAACTCAGATTCCCTTGCTTTTAAAGGAGCGATAAACCTATTCCCCCCAGTCAAGCTGCTCCATATACTCTTCTATTTTGCTGTAGGAGCAGCTTTCCCAGCAGAAATGGAACCGATATGGACAAGACCTCAGTATCAACTTAGTGTCTCCCTAAACACAAAATCAAGTACTTCAGAATAGATTTAAGAAAGAAGTTATAACTGCCTTGATCCCAAAGTACAGGCTAAACACACCAGATTTCCACACAGAATGTATTCCCAGTGCAGATTCAATGCTATTAGGATCTCCATGCAATATGCAAAGGGATATTTTTACCCTCATTTCATACACAATACTGGCTACTTTAGGATGCTTACTTTGAATAGCCTGTTCTGGTTGCCCTTATATAGCTGCTCAGGGTTGGGGGAATGCTAAAGAAAAGCTCAATGGACCTTCTTCTTACGCAGGTGCAGTGAGCACAAATCCTTCATATGTGGGGCTTCCAGAAGACACAGAAGATCATGATGCCCAGGAAGCACTCCCACTGGACACAGCCACAGGGCAGAACAGAGCAATAATAATAACAGAGCAAGAGCTAAACCATGGTTGTGTTCTTGGTCTGTAGCATCTACGAGTCTAGCTTTCCCTAGGGTGAAGACATGATTCTCAGCTGATAACTCTTCTCACAGAAGTCATCTAGTGACCAGCTCACTACATATCCCCTGAAAGACATCCTGTTTACTCCCCTTTCCACAGCCCAAACGCCCTAGCTCTGCCTGCCCTGCTTTTAACTTTCTGTGCCCTTTGACACAGCTGAGGCTAACTAAATCATGATCTGATTGCTAATCTCCTTGTCTCTACTTAAATGGTACTGTAATGCTGCCATTATTCATTTCAGCTATCCTGCTGCTAAACCTTAAAGTCATCTTAGCTCACATCAGCTGCTGTGTTTCCTTCCTTATTGTACAGCTATATGACAATTTTCATTCCCCTGGGGCTTGTCAAGGACATGATAGTTGCTGGGTACTCACGCATACTTTGTTTGATCTCCAGAAGGCCAGGGGATCATGTCCAAATCAGTTACTCTGCAGAGTCATATCTCTCACCCTCAAACTGCAGATATTGCTGAAGGTATCTGCTGTGTGCTATAGGAAAAAGAGCAAGATCTCTGGCAGGGACACTGGCCAAAATGCTTCTTATCAGAAATA